CCCCTTTACTGTGAGTGTATGGCAGTGAAGAATACAGTGATAACTAACACATTAACACATTTTGTGCCACTACCTTGATTGGTGCTCAAGAGGCAGCAGCGTTTCCCACCACTGTTTTTGCACACCTGTGCAAATGTCAACCTTGTGCAAAAGATAATGTGTTAGTGTTATTGTGAAAATAGATTCGATCCCGTGGACCCCTCCATCATCTAAGGTCTGATTACTGAGAGTCACTGTAGTAGAAGAATGTCCTTATTTGTTGGATATATAATTCAAAATATTTAGGGTCAAGGAAACATCTTAACAGCAACTTACTCTCAAAAGGGCCAGGAAAAATAAAGAGTTTTTTTTGTACTGTAGTTGCAACATTTCCCTAAGTTATAAATTGTTTTAACATATTTGTTTTATCTCTGCTTTATCTCTATTTTACATTAAAGTTATATTTAAATTCCATTACTCTTTCACCGGAAAATTCTGTATTGAAATTGGAATTTCTGGAAAATAAACTTTGTTAATTTTGTGGCTTTGAGTAATCCTTGGAACATTGCATAAAATCCATTTACTAACTGTGCTTCAAGATAAAGAGTCATATATTATATATATATTTTATATACTATTAACTGGAGCTAGGCTGTTTACATTTGTTATGTCTTATTCACAATAAATTTAGAGAGAATATACATCCCCTTTTTGCAGAGTGTGAACGTGAGCCTTAGCTTTTTTAACTAACTTTCTCAAACTTACATAAATACGAGAAACTGGCCAGTGATTCATTTTGGAACAATATTAGAAGCTTACATAGGCAAGATTTAAAAGCTACATATGGAGTTAATACATTTTAGCTCCTGAAAATGTTCATAATATCAGAAAAATGTTTAAAAAAATGAAAGACAAAAATAACATGTAGACTTACCCTTCTCTTTCTCTAATACTCTTTCCCCACTGGTGGATGTTGACTGGGTTCTCCAGGCTTTCCTGATGCAGAGCACTGTGTGGGTCACAGTTTTGGAGATCTCATTGTCCCCAAGAGAATGTCAGATATAGAAGCCCTTCTTAAACACACAGTGGGGCTCTGTGCATGCAGTAATTTGACAGCAGATTGTAACATTAAAAATATAATTCAGATATGACTAAAAACAATAATAGGCATTTAATTCAGACTCTGAATTTTATTTACTGTTAGCCTTTGATTTTCAAGTAACCTTAAAACCACACAGTCACATTCAGACTGTGACTAGCATTTTTTAAAAATACAATAGACTGGGTGTAGTGGTTCATGCCTGTAATCTCAGCACTTTGGAAGGCCGAGGAGGGTGGATCACCACAGGTCAGGAGTTCGAGACCAGCCTGACCAATATGGTGAAACCTCATGTCTACTAAAAATACAAGGATTAGCCAGGTGTGGTGATGGGTGGCTGTAATTCCAGCTACCCAGGAGGCTGAGTCAGGAGAATTGCTTGAACCGGGAGGTGGAGGTTGCAGTGAGCTGAGATTGTGCCACTGTACTGCAGCCTGGGCGACAGAGTGTGACTCCGTCTCAAGAAAAAAAATATATGTATACAATAAATTGGCTGGAACTTTTATTCTACTTAAGTATTGAAATGAATTATACATGTAAAGTTATACCTATAAAGTTATGTGTGTATATATATATGCATATAAAATATTCTCTTGTCTCATAAGGTTTGAAATATCTAAAGTTACTGAAACATTAGTTTAGAAAGAATCAACACAGATAGATTTGTCAACTTTCCTAACACCAATAGACTTCACTTTCCTTTGGGTGCCTGTCTCCTCCTAGGGATTTATGTTCCTGGTTAAGTCACTTTACCATTTCTGCTTTGCTTCTTCCAGCCAAACCCATAGAGATGAAAAAATAATAGTCTTTTGATTTCAAGTATATGAGATCTAGGCTGTTCTCATATTAGATGGAAACTTACACCTGAATGTTAGCTAGTAAAAAGAGTTTCTTGTAATTTAGTATTTATTGGAAGCATTGTGTGCCATGCCATCCTCCTGATGTTTGTAACAGGCTTGTGTAGACTATTATCAAATAACACTTTTTTCTTGATATGTCTCTTTGAGCTTCGGTGTTTGCATATCAAGAGAGTCTCAGACTTAGGTAGTTGAGACTGTGATAAGTGCATCCTGTGAACTACCCAAATAAGGAGGAAAACAAAGGCAGCTGAGTATGGGATGCCATATAAAAATCACTTAAACCAGTCGTCACTTCTTGTTTCCTAAGTAGTCCTGTGCTGGAGGTCTGCCCAGATGAAGGTCTCCATGGCTTTAGAAGCGTTGATGCTCCTTGCTGTCTTGATTTGGCCTGGTGCTGAGAACTTACATGGTAAATAACCCATTTTAGACAATGTTTCCTTGAAGGAGTTATTCATAATGATCGCTTTCCATGCAAGTGTTCTACTCCCTGCAGAAATCGGATCTTATTCTAACTGGCTAGAAGATGAAACGCTTTCAGGCCAAGTAGACTTGTGTCAATATACGAGGATACATTTTCTCTTTCTGCCTAAATGTCCCAGTTCTCACGCTTTTCTTTCTCTCTCTCTCTTTTGGTCTTTTCTCTGTCTCGAGGCTCATTTACAGAGGTTCTTCGGGAATAGTCCTTGGCTCTGTTTCAGTCTAACTTTTCAAACCCACTGCCAATTACTATTGCTTGATTGTATCGTAAGATATTTGGTTTGATCTTAACTGATCCTCTTGCTTCCAGGCTCTTTATGTTTTGCTTGATGATGATATTATTGCTCTTTTGTTCTCTTAAAAAGATTTCTTTGACCTTCACTCATGTTAAACTCATCAACAGTTCTGCAAAGCTAATAGGATAAGGCTAAGTCAGCTTGTTGCTGTCCACAAGTTGATTTCAATGTATCTTTTCTGTTTTGCCTGGAATCTAAATGCTTGCCAGCTCCAAGGCCTGACTAAATGTCATCTACTGTAAAGTAGCATTTCAATATTACTTTTTGTGTTCTTTTTTTTTTTTTTTTTTTTTTGTAGACTTCTCTTTTTGTTTGTTTACTTGAAATGGGGTCTTTCTTTGAAACTGATATGTCAATTTCTTATCCATTTGCCCTGTAATCCCTAGGGGAGCAAAGACCACATATAACCTCTGATATTTTTCCATTTTACCTAAGATGAATCTTAAGAATGCCTAGATCAGTGCAGCTCACCACATAACAGTTAATTATTAAAATGAATAGCACATAGAAAGAGTGACCATGAATTCTGGCTATCTGGGGTGGGTAAGGAGTTCAGGCCCTAACTATCTTCCATGAAGTCTGAGCAAAAGGAAGGTTCTGCTGCAGTGAAAGTATCTGTGTGTTCCTCAGGCTTTTCTCAGCTATTTGAGAAAAATGTCAAACCAAAACTTGACTTTCTGGCCGGCATGGTGACTCACACCTGTAATCCCAGCACTTTGGGAAGCTGAGGCGGGTAGATCACCTGAAGTCAGGAGTTCAAGACCAGACTAGCCAACATGGTGAAACCTGTCTCTACTAAAAATACAAAAATTTTCCAGGCATGGTGGCAGGTGCCTGTAATCCTATCTACTCGGGAGGCTCAGGCAGGAGAATTGCTTGAACCTGGGAGGCGGAGGTTACAGTGAGCTGAGATCACGCCACTGCACTCCAGCCTGGGTGAAAGGGCGAAACTATCTCAAAAACAAACAAAACCAAAAAGACTCGACTTTCTAATGATAGTGTGAAAAAAAATGCAGTGAAATCAGGAGTATGAGTTTCCTGTGTGTCCATGTCCACTTAGCCTTTCCATGCATCTTTAATCTCAGCTGCTGGAATTTATTTTCCTTTCGGAAGGACCTTCCTGATCATCTTTCCTAGGTGACGTGAGTACAGTATTTCAAACACATGGCGAGACGTGATTTAAAGGTTGTGATCACTAAAATAGAACACGTGCCTTCTCTACGCCACCTTTTCTAAAATGTGCATAGTCTTACATTGCTGCTGCTGATTTCTCTCTAATGGTAGGACCTCCAGGCTCCAGGGGTGGTAGAGTCCTCTGTGGCCACTTGCTCATTAATAATATAAATATGCACTTTTTAATGCAGAAAAGACTCAGTTCCTCCAAATGGAATCTATTACAAATAATGATTATTATTGACTTACTGACGATTTAAATATAAAGATGGGTTTTACAACAAAACTTGCATGGAACTAACATCCCAGATAAAGGGTTTTCTCTCTTCAGACTATTTCCTTTTATGACTGAGATTGTTTCTGGTTGTGGCTGCTCTAGACAGGAATTCTGTTCAAGAACCACCCTTTCACCTCTCGCTCTCCAAAAAATATACTGGGATGATATCACTCTTATTCTAACACATTGCAATTTACTTCTGTCCCTTTTGTTTTGTCCTAAATATGTCAAGCCTCCATGGAATATAACTTATTTAGGAGAAAGCAAGGGGCTATATGGTTATGCTTTTTCTCGAGACAGAGTCTCACTCAGTTACCAGGAGCCAGGCTGGAGTGCAGTGGCACAACCTCGGCTCACTGCAACCTCCACCTCCCAGGTCCAAGCAATTCTCCTGCCTCAGCCTCCTGAGTAGCTGTGACTACAGGCATGTGCCACCACACCCAGCTAATTTTTTTGTATTTTTAGTAAAGACGGGGTTTCACCGTGTTGGCCAGGATGGTCTCGATCTCTTGACTTCGTGATCTGCCCGCCTCGGCCTCCCAAAGTGCTGGGATTACAGGCGTGAGCCACCGCGCCCGGCCAGTTATGCTTTTTCTCATCCTTGCATGTTGATCCTCCTACCTCCCCCATGAAATTACTGAAATCTCTAATTGGGGACATAATTAGTTAGATATTTTGGAAAACAACGTTAATAATGTTTATATGAAAACCTTAAGCCATGGGTACCCTTGCCAGAGAAAAAAAACACCTTTTCTTTATCACAAAGGGCAGAGTTGAATATTCTTTGAACACTTAAGATAGACACACTTCTGATGCTTTTCATATGGTTCTTTCCACAGTGAAAATAAATTGCTCTCTGGACTGGTTGATGGTTTCGGTTGTCCCACTTGAAGAAAGCAGAAATCTGTATATATTTGCAGATGAATTACATCTGGGAATGGGCTGCCCTGCAAATCGGATACATACATATGTATATGAGTTTATATATCTTGTTCATGATTGTGGCATCAGGACAAGGGTGAGGACAGTGATTGTTTGTGAAAATACTAAACGTTTTGTCAGACTTTTATGCCTAGTATTACAATTATCTTTTAAAAAAATAATCTTTATTCCTTGTTATCGTAATTTATGGGTAGAGGACAACAGAATTCCTCATTTATTCCTCACCGAATATTGGGTCATTTTGTGTGCACAGGACCTTAGATCACAGATTTATAGATTGGCTAGGGAACTGCTTCTAAGTTGCCTTTAGGCCACTATTATATTTTACTAAATATTAGTAGATGGCTTTAAATTTTATTTAATTCTTCTAATGTGGGAGGTCACCAATCTTGGGAAGCTGTATCATGTTCAATGTTAGGCCATTTGAAATCTATCCATGTTCCATGAGGATTTGTGTCAATATATGGAATGGATTTTCATGGAAATGAAATCTCTTGTTGGTTATTCAGCTAGGCACAAATCCTAAATTGCAATGTTGTCTTAGGATATTATTTTCTCATAGATTCCCAAATTTAAATAATTTATATTCATACTATGCAAATATTTTGGACCAGGGACTAATTACTGTAACAATCCTTTTTGAATAAGGTATTGCCTTTGTTCTAGAAATTAAGAATTTGGAGCTTCAGAAGGTGCTTTGCCAATTTTCCCAGGGATACACAGCTTGGTGGTGGTAGTTTAGATGCCAGACCAGATGAACACTCTCCAAAGCTTGTAATTTAAACCACCCTGTCATTTGACTTCCAAATCACCTTTCTCAAAAGAACTGTCGGAAACCTTTTCATAAATGAATCAGAAAGATGTCTATAAGTGGCAATTTAAATTTGCTGCAATGAATTAAGATTTTTTTTGCCCCCAGGCATTTTAAATTCACTGTGAGGGATAACACTCCTCTTCTTTCCCAGTGAGTTGTCAGATCTTCATTTACACCTAAGAGCAACAGTAGCCATTTTTGAGATCGTGAATGTTTTTTCCATCCTATTTAAGTGCGTGTATTTCTCCTCTGTTACTCCAAATATCTTTCACTTAAACTTTGTGCTCTCCCTAGGTAATTTCTGAGGAAACGCTCCTTTTTCAAACGGAGCTGTACTTTATCCCAAGGAATATACATCGTGACCCTGAGGAAATCTCTTTGGAGTGTTCTGCCTCTAGGTAGGTCCAGCAGATCTGATTCCTTTGGAATGTTTTAGCTTTACCTTTGTTTATTAGAAGCTTCTCCAGAAGCATGGATTTTAGAAAACATAACATGATTCACCTATAATTGTAAACCCCAAATTAGCATTTATATAAATATTTTAATGAATACTTTAAAATGTTTTAATATTTTGAATGCAATGGTTACTTTAGCATAAAAATATGTAGACATATAATGGTCCTAACCGACAATCTAGTATAACTAGGTTATTTTATAATAACTCAACTACAAAGCAGAGTCGTTAAATACTCCGTTACTTTTAGTAAGTGATAAAATTGAGCATTGATATTATCGTTCAATGTTTTGTCCTTTATAATATTTTTTTCTGATACATTTTATTGTTCAATTTCATCTTGTAAGAGTAAGTGGCTTAAAATGTAAGAAAATCAATCAGTTCATTTAATACTAATGGCGAATACATGAAGGAAGGGCTATGAGCCTAATCATTAAATGTACTTTGCTTGTAATTTTGTGGAACTGAGATATTGAATCCCAAGAGCCCCACATGAACTTTGAGACTAGGTGGAAAGGTATCCTGACATACTTTTACCATGCCATTGAAATATTTATGTAAAGTTTTATAAATCTGAGTGGTGAATCTTGGAAACTACCTCAAAACTACAGGAAAAATTTTATCCTTGTTTAATACATGGAAATAGTTGGCATCAAAATAAGAGTTTAGAGTTTAGAACCAATATGCAATGTATTTTAATGAGATTATAGTACTTTTTTTTTTTCAGGGGGAGACAGAATTGTTTTTCCTTAAATTTTGGTAAAATATACATAATATAAAATACCATTTTAAGTGTACAGTTCAGTGACATTAATTCTATTCACACTGTTAATACTTTGAACCTTCCCTTTAACTTATTTCATAAGTCTGATGGGTTTAGTGATATTCTATTTAAACGTTAAATAAAAACTACCTCTTGATTCTCTGTCTTTCTCAGTCTTTGTCTCTTTCTGTATATCTCTCTCTGTCTCTGTGTGTCTCTCAGTCTGTGTCTCTGTCTCTCTGTCTCTGTCTCTTGGTCTGACTCTGTCTCTCTGTTCTGTCCCTATCTCTGTTCTGTCCCTGTGTCTGTCTGTCCCTGTCTCTGTCTCTCTGTCTCTGCCTCTCTGTCTCTGCCTGTCTCTGCCTCTCTGTGTCTGTCTCTCTCTCTGTCTCTGTCTGTCTCTGTTTTTGTGTATCTCTTTGGCTCTATCTTTCACATACATACATATGTTTTTGATTTTAGAAACTACCCAATACTTGGAGCAACACAGAGTTCTGACCTAATGCCCCAGAACTACTGCCTCTCTGTAGGCTACCAGAGTTACAGTGATAAATAGATATTCCTATTTTGATAGTAACTAGTATGTTGCTTGAAGCCTACTTTCCTTGACAATATGAAGATTTGACCAACAAAGGTATCTGTTTAGGTTTTGGGTACACAAATTTTACTGTTGTATTCTCATTTTTATTCTGTCTCTGTCTCTGTCTTTCTCTCTCTCTCTCATATTCACTTACTCACATTGACATACAGAATTTTGCCACCACCACAGTGGGTCAGTTAAGCTTTGGATCCAAATGGTCTTAGGATCCATTTGGCTGAGTCTGTTTTGCTTGGCACATTGGTACTCTTCTAATGCAAGCATCACAAATTATCTAAGACCATTAATCTTCCTACTCAGTGTTTCATGCAGAAATCATGGGGAAACTAGCTGTAATTAGTTCTTCTATAAGTCTATCTGCTCAAATCTCATGCCAAGTGTCCACGAGGATCTAGAAGGTCTAGTATGCCAGCTCTACACCATACTCCTGAATGACTGTTCTGAAAATGATCGTGGTATTAAACAGTGGTAAAAATGACTTGATCCCAAGTGTGCCAACACTATCTGCTTTCTGTCTCCCTTTTCTTTAGGAAATCAGTGTGGCTTACACCAGTTTCTACTGAGAATGACCTAAAATTGGATCCTAGTCCTTTTATTGCTGACTTTCAGGCAACACCAGAAGAGTTAGGATTATTATCTTCTACCAAATGGCTCTCAGCTAAAGGAGAAATGGAAACTTGAAGGCGGCATTATGTATTTGGGAGGAAAAGAGTTTTGTTTTTTCATAGCAAAAATATAGTTGCTATATATCTCTCCTTAAGTCTCTGGTTTCTAAAACCCTGCTTCAGTAAAGGTCCTGATTAGTTGATTAGTGAATGTGTATTTCTAAATATTTGTATTCAATAGGGGTATGGCTTATTAATTTAATGTTAACTATTAGATAATTCATATTATACATTTATTTAAGCTCTTTTCTGTTCTGTGTAGAATATTCAACAATATGTCTTCAATGATAATGACTTGATTTAATTGATATAAACCTCCAATAAATATGTTCTAATATTTTTCAGGAAGAATAAAGAATAGAGATAGACAGAAAAATGTGCAAGAGGGAAAACTTTGAGCCTAGTGTAAAATTTGACATATTAACTATCACAAAAGACAAAATCCTTTATGTGCAGATATTTTAATTCATGTAGACTTTCCTATTAATCACTAAAGTTGAATCCTAATCATAATGCAATGTGACAACCTATTTAGATTATTCCAGAAGTAAATTCAATTTATTTTCTAGAGCTCAAGTAACCACCACCTTAGCTGAAATTTGATGTTAGGTTTTCCTTTCTCCTCAGTATGGTCCTTCCACACTCAAAATGATTTGTTGAGTTGGTCAAGCAAAGAGTTATCCTGCCACCTAAGGGAATCCATTAAATAATCATTACCACCTACTTTATACTCTCTTCTTTCCCTTAAACAGGGAGTCTATATATGTAATATATCAAAAAACACTTCTGATTTTCATAGATTTCTTATATCGAGAGTGAGAATTGAACTGTGCCATTGGCTGTTCAATCGCTTATTGAATCTACGTTTTGATGTCACGTCCTCCTGGAAACAAATTTTGCCAAGATGCTCTGTATTATTATTTTTAATTAAAGTGGTACTATTCCATTTCCAATAAAATGCTGCCTATAGCTGTTTACTTGTCAAAGAATTTGACACTGTCATAGTGGGCATCTCTCTTTGGCAGTTAATATGCAGCTAAGAGGTAATACTTCTATGGGACTTCCTAAGTGTCAGAATAGGGTACAAGTATATTGCAATAAGTTATTTAACCTTAAAGAGAAAACCGTATCACTATTATCCCAGTTTTGCAGATAAGCAAACAAACGCAGGTTAAATCATGTGCCTGAGTCTGACAACTTGTTGGTTTTTGTTGAAGATTTAAAATCAGGCAGTGTGCCTCTAGGTCTGTCTCTATGCTTTCTCTTTGTACATTAGCAACTATACTCTACTGCTTGTGATTATCTTAAGTCGCTGAACTTTAGTGCTCTAGAAAACAATTGTTATTCAAGCAGTTACATAATTCTCAATAAAACAACGTTTAGCAATAGTGTTTCTCTTGAATATGGAAGTAAAATTTTTATTTATTTATTTTTTTGAGACAGAGTCTCGCTCTGTTACCCAGGCTGGAGTGCAGTGGTGCAAACTTGGCTCTCTGCAAACTCTGCCAGGGTTCAAGCGATTCTCTTGCCTCAGCCTCCTGAGTAGCTGGCATTATAGGCACCTGCCACTGCACCTGGATAATTTTTGTAGTTTTTAGTAGAAACAGATACTGGGCAGGTGAATGGTTGCTAAAAACAAAGTAAATTATTGAGTCTGAGACAATACATATGTAAAGATAAAGAGCGATGATGTGGCTGGATTTTAGAAGGGTGGCTCTAAAACCTCTTCTCTTGCTATTTCACTTTTTCCTTTTTTTAAAAAAAAATTATGACTGACACAATTGTATATATCAGCTACAATGTGATGTTTCAATACATGTATAAATCAGGTAATGAGCACTTAGTGTACCAACCACCTTAAATATTATTTCCTGTAATAAGAACATTCAAAAACCTCTCTTCTAGCCATTTTGAAATACCCAATACACTATTCTTAACTTTCATCATCCTATTACACAATAAAACACTAGAACTTATTCCTCCTAACTAACTCTAGCTTTGTTGGCCTACAGTCCCAGCTATTTGGGAGGCTGAGGCAGGAGAATGGCTTGAACCCAGGCGGTGGAGATTGCAGTGAGCTGAGATTGCACCACTGCACTCCAGCCTGGATGACACAGAAAGACTCTGTCTCAACAACAACAACAACAACAACAACAACAGTAAACATAATGGAGAACCTCTCCAGGCTACCCGCGGTGACATACAGTTTTTATCTTGGTGAGATAAGAAGCTGTTGCAGGCACTGAAAAAAGAGATGAATCATTTTCATTACAGAGCCTATATTCCTCTGATGCTTCCAAAATAATCAGAATTTCAAAAGGTTGTATAGTTTTTAATATGGGAAACTATATATTTAAAAGGTTGAATGAAATGGAAGTCTAATTAATGATATTTTAAAGTTATCCCTAAAATTAAGGAGCAATCCTGAGGGCAGGGGGTTCTATATTCTGTGAAAACACCAGAATTCCTTAGCATCTACTATTCTTCTTTGGAGAAGGTTGAAAAGGCATTTTAAAATTGAAAGCTAGTTTCAGTAAAATGTATGCCATACTGTTCTAATCAAATAAATCTACTGATGGCTTATAGGAAAACTAGCCCAAAAAGCTAATAGAGAAATGAAAACCAGAAAAGAGTCATGATATAATATTTATACCTTGTAGCAGTTAGGGTTCAATCAGGTAAGCAGAACTAGATTGAGTGATATTGATGAGGAATTTATCATAATTAATTTTGAGAACTGGGAAATAATTCTATGGAAGGCTCTTGCTTTTGCATCTGATGGTGAGCCTGCTGTTGCTATAGGTCAGCAGGGCTGGCAGCCTGGAAAACAGGCTGGACTTGAAAAATGGTTAAGATGGTACATTTTATGTTATGTGTTTTGTACAGTCATTTTTAAAAAGGCACACTTGAAGCATGGAAGCATAAGAACACATTGGAACCACATCTTCCTCTCACTTCCAACCTCAACCACAAGGATGACCTGGCATCCATTGCTATGGTGTTGTGCAAGTGCCTGGTCCAAGACTCAGAGGTGCTAAAGGAGACTTGGTGAGAGCAGGAGAAATCGCAGGTCCAGCTGTGGTCCAGTGCTAGGGAGGTGAGCCAGAGGATCAGAGACAGAGTGTGCAACCTGCACCCTAAACCCACTTTGGAGCACCATGGCTACTGTCTGACTTTCTGCCTTCCAAATCTCACACAAATTTCTTATATGATCAACCCAAGGACTGTTCAGGAAAAGTAATTCTAGTAAATGTAGTTACAGCTTAGCTGAATTGGCCCAGAAAAACTCTTAGGCTGATAAAAAATGGAGTTGAATAGTTCCATGGGTGGCAGTAAGTGGGAATATTGAATACCACATACACTATATGTGTGCTTATAGAGGTGGAGGCATTCTGGAGTATTCTACCTGGCAGTCCTCAGTCAAGTTGATTATGTGCACATCCTATGGCCCAGTAATTAGGATTTTGATTATATATTGCAAAGAAATTCTCATACAGAATTAAGGCACATGGATGTGAGAAGATTCCTGATATCAAGCTACAATCCCTGTGTGTTCATTTATGGGTGGGTGGTTAGGTAAAACATGGTGGATGTAGGTGCAGCATTTGGGTACAGCAGATTGCACACTCATGGTGGCTCACGCCTATAATCCCAGCACTTTGGGAGGCTGAGGCCGGTGGATCACTTGAGGTCAGGAGTTTGTGACCAGCTTGGCTGACATGGTGAAACCATCTTCACTGAAAATACTAAAATTAGTGGGGCATGGTGGTGCATGCCTCGAATCCCAGCTACTGAGAGGCTGAGGCAGGAGAATCACTTGAACCTGGGAGGCGGAGGAGGTTGCAGTGAGCCGAGATCATGCCACTGCACTCCAGCCTGGCTGACAGAGTAAGACTTTGTCACAAACAAACAAACAGACTTGGGTATTACTAACAGAGCTGAGTGAAAAAGAGGACCATGACATATATAATACAATGGCATTTATGTATATTAAGAATGTTTGCATGTAGAACTTAATGGTTACCTTTGGTGAGAAGAATCCAAATCAAGGCACAAGAAGATGGAGGAGCTGTAATATTTCATGTGAAGCCCATCTTGCGCTACAGAAAATGTACTTATCAGGATGAAATCCTATTAAAATGGCTGCCAATGAATGAAATCTGCTTAATTCCAAACTAAGATACCATTTTACCTGCTAAAATAAAGTATATAGGCCACCCCAGGAGAAGAGGTGGTCTTTCTTAGAGAAATGCATTTGTTCTTTCCTAACTCATTTCCAACTATCTCATTATAAAGTCCTTTTAGACATACCCAGTAGTTCCCCAATCTGGCTTCACGTTAGAGTTACCTTGGGACCTTTAAAAAATATTCCTGTTGGGCTGGGCGCAGAGGCTCATGCTTGTAATCCTAGCACTTTGGGAGGCTGAGGCAGGTGGATCACTTGAGGCTAGGAGTGGGAGACCAGCCTGGTCAACATGGTGAAACCCTGTTTCTACTTCAAAACAAAACAAAACAAAACAAAACAAAACAAAAATAAGCCGGGCATGATGGTGTGTGCTTGTAATCCCAGCTACTCAGGAGGCTGAGGCAGAAGAATTACTTGAACCTGGAGGCAGATGCTGCAGTGAGCGGAGATTGCACACCAGCCTGGGCAACAGAGCAAGATTCTGTCTAAAAAAAAAAAAACAAGTTCACATTCATGTTGAGTTTATGACAAATATCCTGATTTAATGTTTTATAAACTCCCCAGAAGATTCCACTAGGTAGTTGAAAGTAGAAGCATTATATTAGTATTTTCTACCTAGGCTATTTCCATGTTTACCAATAAGTGTCATCATAAATTCTTCCAGTTTTCTTAGGAACTCTAAAAAAGAATCCCTTTATTCAAATGCTAAGATTGAATCTCTAGTCTATTTTCCTCATTTATTTGAAAACACAGCATGAGGTCAAAACAAAGAATCAAGGCTAGTTTCTGATTGATGATTTTATTTTATCTGATGGCTTATTATTTCAAGACCTCTTGGAACAACAATCCTTGTCCGTCTTAACCTTTTATTAATCTTACAATTATAGTAACAAATGCCATTTCAACGTGATTTCAAAGTTGTGACTTTTGCAACATTATGAACTAGTAATTTACAAATTAAACACATTTAATGCATCCCAAAGCCAAAAACCTTAGGTGGTTAACTGTTTTAAGAGCTTATACATGCGTTACGATATATAAAGGTACTGCTTCATTAAGGGTGTGATTTTAATATGTACACACATGGGCATGAGCGTGTGTATGGGGGTAAAACAGACTGCAAGCAATAATATTTAGTAAGTAGATAAAAACAGCAGTCTTGAGAAATATATCACTTTTTAAATAGTCAAATGTGGCACTTGTAAATGAACAACTAGACTATTGATGAATTCACGGATTTCCGTTTCCTTTTGGAAATTTGCAACTTGAGTTTTGAACTCAGTTATTCTTTAAGGTACTTCAGCACGGGAAGCTACTCAGTCTCTCCTTGATAATTTTCCCTGCCATTAGGAGATATTACATGCAAGTGAAAGAAAGGTCTGTGAATCTTCCTTTTTCTCTTTTTAATTTGTTTTTTAAAATGTGTTATTTATTTTTATTTATCAGCCATAAAAAAAGAATAACATCCAGTCATTTGCAACAACATGAATGGAACTGGAGATCATTAAGTCCAGGCACAGAAAGGCAAATATCACATATTCTCACTTACTTGTGGGATCTAAAAATCAAAACATTTGAACTCATGAAGGCAGAGAGTAGAAGGGTGGTTACCAGAGGCTGGGAAGGGTAGTGGGGAGCTGTGAGGGGAGGTGGGGATGGTTAATGGGTACAAGAAATGGAAAGCATGAATAAGACTCGCTATTTGAGAGCAAGCAGGGTGACTATAGTCAATAATAACTGTACATTTTTAAAGTAACTTAAAGAGTGTAATTGGATTGTTTGCAATTCAATGGATAAGTGCTTAAGAGGATGGATACCCTATTCTTCATGATGTGAGTATTGTGCATTGCATGGCTGTATCAAAACAGCTCATGTACCTCATAAGTATATACACTTACTATGTACCTACAAAAATAGGAAAAAAATAATTTTTATGTATTTATTTTACTTTTTTCCCTCTCAGCTTTAATGAGGTGCAATTAGATAAATATGTTCTGGGGATCTAATTTGTTAAGATCTCTCAACAAATTTTAAGTATACAATACAGTGTCGTTAACTCCAGTTGTCCATGTTAACTGGAGTTAACAATACTGTATTGTATACTTAAAATTTGTTAAGAGAGATCTTAAATGTTCTCACCACCACCAAAAAAAAAAAAAAAAAAGATGATTATGTGATGTGATGGATAGATTAATTATCT